TTATTAAATTAATAAGGTCACTTCTCTCCAAGATGAAGAGGAGCCATTACCCCTTTGGGTTTGGTCAGTCAGCCAGTTACAAATCCACCTAACATTTGTGTTGTCTTGCAAGGATATCATGGGGGTTGGATAGCTTCATTGCATCTTTTGCTCTTATTCATTTCAAGACTAACTTCCCAAGTTCTGCCTCTATGTCACATGTATATACCATGGCTTCAGGTTTCCTAAATTTCCCCAAAGCATCCAAAAGCTGGCCATTGTGAGAGGCGGGATGGCCAGATTCCATCGGCCATTTGTCTGATCCAGCAAGGCTCTTCCTATGGAAAGGGGACGCTTTTAACAACCCTGACAAGTCACTCAAAGATTCAGCTCACTGTTTCTTAAGAAATCCCTGGATCTTCAAAGTACAAATGTAATACAGCATAATCTGAAATGAGAATGGAGCTTGTTCCATCCTTGGGCACCGTGGCGATTAAGAAATGATCATGCTACGAATGTATATGAGGAGTGGGTCTTTGGTGCAACTAACCAAGGCTCCCCCTAATACCTACAATTGCATGGAGATCCTGCCCTGAACAAACCTCTTTTAAATTGCCTGGGTTGTATAGTCTACATATTGATATTCTACCCTGTCTTGGTAGATGAATCTAATGATCAGGGACTTGGCTTTGAGAAAGAGGACAATGTAACTTCTGTCATCCTGACTCCACTGGGATGTTGCTTGGCCAGACATGTCCCAGCTGCATACACACTGCAGAAGCAATCCCGTTTGACACCACTTTAATTCCCATGGTTCCATCCTCTGGGATCCTGGGATTTGCATTTTGTTGTGGCATCAGAAAGACAATGCTAAATGTCTCACCAATCTACAAATCCCAGAATTCCATAGCATGGAGCTATGGCAGTTAAAATGGTGTCAAACTGGATTATTTGTGCCATGCAGATCCAGCCCCAGTTTTCATCTGTGAAATGTTGAAGGGTATTAGGATTTGGGGAAATGCAAAGAAAAATGAGACTGGTTGGCTTTCACATCCCTAATTTCTCCCTTGTCTGACATAGTTCTCCTTGCATACCACCCATCCTCCTTTCCCCCTCTGGCCTGCATTGCACTAAACAGTATTGGCTTCATTTCTTCCATCTCCACCCTGCAAACCTTTCCCTCTCTTCCATATTAAAAATAGGTTGATGTCATTTTTATTTAATCAAAGTGTTCATTAAAAGAGAATCAAAGAATGAGGGAGGGAAAGGAAGGAAAGGAGTCTCTGGGGATATGGCGTAAAAGTCAATCTGAGAAAATAACCCACTGGAGAGAGATACTGACTGTTTCCCAATAAAAAGAAGGTGTAGGTTTCTACATGGAGATGGATGATGAATGTCTCCTCTTCCTTCTCCTATCTCAGCCTCTCTGGGGTTGCATGGCACACGGCGGAGGCAAACTCCAAACCCATTTAAAGTGCCTCCGTGTTGAGTGTTCCTTCTCCTTTCCCACCCCAGAACTGTCTAAATTGCAATAATTTCATTTCCCAATGCACCAACGGATGCGATCGGCATCTCCGTTCTCAATCAGCTGGAAGGAAGATAGAGAATTTTAATATTCTTTGGTGTTGCTATTGAGACCTCCAAGTCCCAAATCACTTCCCTCCTGTGATGGAAGTTGGCAAGTTTGCACAATCCTGCAGCTCTGCCTTCGACCTGCCTAATGGCTTTCTTTCCACAGTTGAAAAGCAGGCGTCAATTTCCTAGCCCTCGGAGTCCCAGAGAGAACAGAAGGGAATGTGGCCTTGGTAGTAAACTATAATCCCATTTACAAACTTTTCTCAGGGTTACCAAAAGCCTGAGCATGTGCAGAACTTTAAAACTTCCCTTTTTTGGGGTGGGGGGGGGGAGACAGACTTCAAGTCCCAAAATTCAGTGTGGCATTGCTTGTGTCACTGTGAGCAAAGGATGGTAAGCAAATGAGGCATAATAATTACATTATACTTTTGCCATTAGTTCTATTGTGGTAAATCATAAGTGAAGAGGAAGGGATTTCCCGTATTTAGAAAAAGGCTTCTTGTTGTTACTGCGTGCAAGTTGTTTCCGATTTATGGCATCTGGGGAAGCCAAAACAGGGACTTCACTAGGAGTGTGCAGGGGTACAGATCTCACCGGGGGACATCTCAAGGGGGGTTGAAGACCAAGTAGGGTGGTCGCTCACTGTCCCCCCAAAAAACAGCCAGGGCAGCCTAGGGGTAACAGCATGAGTTACCACACTGGGGTGCCACCAACCTTGGCGATGCCACTGAGCCCAAAGGAACAGGATTGGCCCCCAGACTAAGACTAAAACTAAAACATGGTTGCATGTACTCTTCCCCCCTAAATGGGTGCATGCATTTGGATGCATAGACTTATTGATATTTTTCTCACCTGAATCTATCACAAGTCTTGGAAAGAGGCCCTCCGTGTTCCTCTTACCAGCTTTGGAAGGTGCAAAATAGTTCATTTTCCCTAGGGCAATGGGAACCAGAGAAATTTCATTCCCAGCCATAGGAGATTTCTCTGCCTTTGCCACTCTCGGTCTCGGTCTCTCTCTTTTGGGGGTTTGTTTTTTTGCTGTTGCCATTTTCTCGCTTCAGAGGTTTCTCAGAGCGCCACTCAGTTCCCAGAGTGCTGGGTGAGGCATCTCTATCTCAGCCACCACCGGGAAGATCAGGGAAGGCTGCTCTGACAGCCTGATAAGCATATTATGAGCCAACAGTCAATGGCTCGACAGCACTTTAATCTTGCCTCGCCTCCCCTCCTTCGATGTGTCCACATCTGTGAGATTTCCAGAGGCTTCAAGTGCCATGATGGATGGTCCTCTTTTCTTCTCTTTTTTGCTTCTTGGTACCAAATAAACATGTCTCTCATACTAAATAGCGCCTCAATGAGCAAAGCATGCAAAGGAAAAGCTCAGACATCCTCGGAAGAATTTAACAAAGGGCTTTAACTTTGCATCATGCGTCAGGAGGACCCAGTCCAGCCATCAAAACTCTTTCCTTCCCATTGTTGGACTGATGTGCCTCAACCAGCACCCAAATGAAGAGCTGTAGTTCTTGGGCATGTGTTGAGTTCTCCAAGCTCAGATTTTGAAATGGCAGCTTTCAAGTTAATATTTTTCTCTTCAGACGAATCCTAGAATCCTAGACCGCAAATCTTCCCCCCAAGCCAATGGTCCCCAAATTTGGTCCTCCAGATGTTTTGGACTTCACTTCCCAGAAGCCCCAGCTAGGTTGGCCAACAGTTAGGAGCCACAGTCCAAAACATCTGGAGAACCAAAATTTGGGAACTCCTGCCTTAGGCCGTTGGATCCAGTCTCCCACTCAGTGCAGGATCTCCTTCTTAAGCTGGCAAGGATGCTTTTAAAAACAGCCAGAGAAAGAGACAAGCCACATCACTCTAGAGGTACATCTACACTGTAGAAATAATGCAGTTTGACACCACTTTCACTGCTATGGCTCCATCCTACAGAATCTTGGCATTTGTAGTTTGTGTCAGGCACCAGCACTCTTTGGCAGAGAAGGCGAAAGATCTTGTAAAACTAAAAATCCCAGGATTCAAGCAGCTACGCTGAGCAGTATCAAGAAACTCTTTCTAGCAGTTTTCATCTCCACTGGCAGTGGGTCTTTTGTAAAGCCAATGGCTCCTAAGTGCTCAAATAAACCCACAATCCTCCCTGGTTGTCTGGATTACAATAGATCAAGGATATTTGTGAGGATATATTATTTTCCCAACTATTGAGGGTTGCAGATGTGTAGCGTAGAGAGAAAAGGACAGCCTGAAATGTGTGCGTGTGTCAAATGGTGTCCATTGCCCCTGCTAACCCTAGCTTCATTTCAACCCCATTTGATCCTCAGAAGCAATATTCTGATTTAGCAAAAACATTCCTTCCATTTTGAGGGTTCTAGAGCATCATCTACGGCTAGATCAGAGCTTGGAAAAGCGACTTTTTTTCCAGACTACATTTCCTGGAATCCCCAGGCGTTCTGGGATTTGTAGTCCGAAAAGGGAACTTTCTCCGGATCGAGACCTGACTACTAAATCTATTCCTAGAATCCAAAATGGTGCACTAGTTTGTTTACAGATTTAAAAAAAAACAAACAATGGTCACCCCTGATTTTCACGCCAGGCAGGGAGGCAACCAGAAGGAAAATGTTCACAGCCTATTTCTGCAAAGAAGGGACGTTTGCAATGCAATGTGAACTGTGAGGAAGAAAAGCCTTGTGGCATCTTTCACGGAGAATCAGCGACGTGCCTGAAAAGCAGACAACTTAATTAATGAATCTGACTCTTGATTCCACAGGTTCTGAGCTGGCTTTCCTCCTCTTCCAGTGACACCTGGAGGTTGTCTGTGTTTGAGGTGGGAAAATAGCATTAAAGCAAACATTAAAGCAAGAGTCTTGCTTTAAAAGAGAACTCGGCAAAGTTTCTTTTTCGCAAGAATCCCACAAGTTACATGGCCCTGCTTGCTGTAGGGGCCTGGAAATTGTAACTTGGAAAAGGGATCTTTGCTAAGCTCAGTTTAAAACCTGGATATTTTGGTGGGTCAAGAAGAAAAGATGGAACGGAAGAGGGTTTTGTTTTTTTATGGTTCCAAGAATATCCAGTAGGAAATTGGCCCAGATAGCCTGAACGAAGCCAGATTTTCTTAAGACAGGAGAGAGAAATTTTTTAGACTTGGGTTCCATCTCCAAGGATATCTCATTAGGTTCTTGCAAATATTCCAAAATCTGAAAAACTCTGAAATCTAAAATGGATGGTCTCTGGAGTTCTCTAGCAGAAGAGCCTAAGTCTCTTGTTCTTTTTTGTTGTTGTTGTTGTTGTTGTTGTTTTGTGCCTTCAAGTTATTTCCACCTTAAGGCAACCCTAAGTGAATCTATCATGAGGGTTTTCTTGGCAAGATTTGTTCAGAGGAGGTTTGCCATTGCCTACCTCTGAGGCTGAGAGAGTGCCACTTGCCCAAGGTCACCCAGTGGGTTTCATGACCGAGCTGGGAATCGAACCCTGGTCTCAAGAGTTGTAGTCCAACACTCAAACCACTACACCACATTGGCTCTTCAAGTCCCTCGCTAAGCTACAAATCCAAAGATTCCCTCTTAGACGAAGCCACGATAATTGAAGTGGTATGACTCTGCTCTACTTTAATGGAGAAACCCCTTTATTATGGCAGCCCCCAAAAGAAATCTTTCCAACCTTTTCATCTGGGTCCACCAACTGTTTTCGCTGGCTCTCCCTCCAAGAGGGTGCATGTGTGAAAGCAAGTTTGCTAGCAATGAACTTGCAAACAGTTGCTTTGTCTAGCCAGAATGTGACATGGATTTGGACAATAATCAGAAAATCCATTCCATTCCTCTTGTTTGCAAACCGGTGGCCCGTCTCAACCAGAGCAGATTGGAAAGGCCTGTTGGCATCCAGAAGGAAGGATGGTGTGGCGAGGAAAAGCATATTTCACGGTGTGCAACCGTGACAGTGTTGCTGGGTTGATCTGTGTGGTTTTGTATATGTGTATTTGTGTTGTTTTTTCCCCCTGAAGGAGATCAAGATGTGTGACGGACCATTCCTCATGCCTTGAAAAGTTAATGACTGATCCTCGGCCCCAGTTTACAATTTAATTGAAAAATAGCAGGCGGGAACAGGTACGATGATGAATGCCATCATTAATCATCAAGACGCGGCATGGTAGCATCACCCGGGGTCTGTGATAATGCTCAGCGGTGCCATCCAGACCAGCCAATAAACCCAGATGCCTTGTGGATTTATAAGGCAGGAAAGGGGGAGACTTCGGGGAGGGAAGGCAGAGGATCAAGATGCAGAACGGTTGTGCTTTTCTGATGACAGTTCCCCTGGAATTACTTTTAATTGCTTCCCTGAACCCACTGAGGATGATGATGACTCCACACTACACAATTATGTTTGTGTGTGGGTTTCTGACTCATGGCAATCCCTATCCCCTATCATGGGGTTTTCTTGGTAAGCTTTGTTCAGAGGAGGTTTGCCATTGCCTCCTCCTGAGGCTAAGAGTGTGTGACTTGCCCAAGGTCACCCAGTGGGTTTCATGGCTAAGCTAGGAATTGAGCCCTGGTCTCCAGAGTCGTAGTCCAACACTCAAACCACTATGTCACACCAGCTCTACACAATTATACCACTTTGATAATACTTTAACCGTCTTGGTTCCATCCTATGAAAATCCTGGAGTTTGTTGAATGGGGAGAGGCTTCGAATTCTCTGTTAGGGAGCTCTAGTCTGCTACAGCATTAGGGTTTCCAGCCAAGAACTGAAAAGCCTGGTCTCCATATTTGCCACATCTAATGGCTCATTTGTCTCTCTTGGCAAGAACAATCCAAAGCTTTAAACATTACTTTGTTTGGACTATATCTCCCAGAAATCCTCAATCAACATGGCACTCCATATATTGCTTGTGTAATCCAAACAAGTAACCTTCCCAAGTTTTGTAACTATCCATAAATTGCCTTTCCCCATCTTGGTGGCGTTCAGATTACAATCCCCATCAATCCCATCCAGCATGGTCAGTGGTCAGGGATAATAGATGCCATAAGTCCAAAACACACTGCAGAAACAATCCAGTTTGAGACCGCTTTAACTGCCCTGGCTCAATGCTAGGGAATGCTGGAAATTGTAGTTTAGTGTGGCCCCAGAGCTCTCTCTGACAGAGAAGGCTAAATGTCTCACAAAGCTACAGTTCCCAATATTTCCTAGCATTGAGCCAGGGCAGTTAAAGAGATCTCAAACTGGATTATTTCTGCAGTGTGTTTTGGACCATAGTCATAGTTGAAAACATGCTAGCTATTGCGTTCTGGGATTTGCAGTTTAAAAGGGATCCCTCCCATACTCTGGAATTAAGCCTCCCCCTTTCATCCACGAACCAACCTCCCTCATCCTGGTATGATGTGGACTACAACCCCTATCATCCCCACATCAGTACAGTCGATGGGCAATGGTGATGGGACTTGGTAATCCAAAATATCTGGAGGGTGCTAGGTTGGGAAAGCTGCAAAGCACATGGATAGGTTGTATTCCCCCCCCCCCACCAAAAAAAGGACAGCACCACAGAGGTGGAAAGGTGATGCACCGAGGGTTGGAGGGTGAGAGAGATAATCTGGATGAAGTCTGCATCAGGCTAATGAAGCCGTCTCATATAACTTGTAACAAGAACCTCTCATATCTGTGGTGACACTTAGAAAAGCCGGGCATGAATAAATAACCCAAGCCCAATTGAATTAACCTCTGGCTGAGCGATGGAACTCGGCAAATTATCTCCAGCTCTGAACAAGATTAGAAAAGGCCTGCAAGGAGAAGAGACTTAATTTAGCTGGTCCTATGTGAACCTAAATCCAGGAGTGCGGCTAACATTTTTAATAATAAGTATAACAACAACAACAACACAGTTTGCGACTTTGACTTTTGCGGATTTGATTATTCATGGATTTGAGTAACATGTTCTCTCTTGGAATCTCTAGGTCCTCCAGTATGACTCCGCCAGAGGTTGACCATAAAGTTGTGATGAAGGACTTAAGAGATTCCTGGAGAAAACACTTCTCTAGGCATTTGTAGATCCTCCAACGCAATTCTATGGTCAATGTTTGGTGGGTGTTGGCCATAGAGTTGTACTGGAGGATTCCCGAACTTTGGTCCTCCTGGTGTTTTGGAGTTCACCTCCCAGAAGCCCAGTCAAAGTCAGGAATTCTGGGAGCTGAAGTTCAAAACATCTGGAGGACCAAAATTTCAGAACCAATGACCTAGAGATTCCTAGACAGGTATTCTTTCAGGTAAAAAAAACAGTGGGTTATTTTATTTGCAGTTTTCCCATTTTCATGGGGGTCCTGAGTTTCTGGAGGGCCCACTGTAATATCACAATCAATTTCACTGTCAAACCAGATGTTGCAATTGCTTCATTAGTATTAGTATTATTAGATTAACTCACATTTTCCAGAAACTGGGCTGAAAGGACCTGCTGTGCTAGCTGTACTGAAGTTAGTGTTGGACTAGGACTTGGAATTGGCATGACCTACTTGAAGGAGGCCTCTTCGGATGAAGAAAGGTAAAGGAGATTCAGGATGCTAGGTCCCAGTTGGAACTGGAGGAGTCCTGGTCCATCCCAGACAACAGCTGCAGATCAAAAGGAGGGATCATGTAAATTAAAGTGCCAGGAGCAAAAAAGTCAGGCAACGCTCTGCTCCAAATTAGCTCTGTTGCTGCAGAACAAAAATGGCCAAAACTCCCATGCAATCCTGCCCTGCCTTTTTGGCTTCCTGGCTTTCTGACCTTTGGAATATACTTTTGGAGTACATTTCCAGCGTCACACCTCTCTACTTTGGAACCTGCTCAGGACTGCTTTCTTTCTTTGAAACTGGGGCTGTCTGGACCACACTTCTGTTTGTAACCCTCTGTGAGCCTTGGGACTTGCCTGGCTTTCTCCTGCCAATTCTTATGAATGATAGATGTGCACTGGGCACTTGTAGGCTTTAAACAAGACAGGAACGGACTCTGGTTCAAAGCTCCATCTGGCAAGAAAACTTCTTGGACGACTTTCTATCAGTCATGGTCTCTACCCATCGAACCTGAGCTCTTCCAAGTCACTCTCTTTTGGCCTTAATTGACCAATCCCATCTGTCGCAAGGATGGAGACAGGAAGGAGCCATCTCAGGCACTTTGGAGGAAAGTGCCCCAGTGTCAGTGGGGCACTCAATCCTCTCCAGGCTTTGCTCCAAGCTTCAAAGGAGCTATCCAAGATGCTATGGCTATCTTGAAGGAAAGAGGATCAATCCCCATGGAGAGCATCTTTA